ATCAGGCGAACTCTTTCGTTCGCCACCAAAGTTATGTCACAGCTGGATTGAATCCATGCTTCAATGTGTGTATGTATGTCTGTACATAATATATTATACCTGCGCACGTAATGTGCTGTACATCTCAAGTCATGAAATTTTTCAGGATTTTGGAGTTCGAGGAAGGATCCATTTGCGTCGGTTAAATATCATAGTACTATCCAGTTGAGGACAAGAATATCTGATTTCAAAGCAGAATCGTTAAATCCATGATACATATCATCACATCATATCGAGAATTTTCATGAATCGTAAGGTCATCACCTCAGGCCAAAGCCGAAAAATCCACCTATCCCAAAATGCAAACCAACCGAATCAACCAAGCAGCTAGACAAAAACCCTATTAATTCCCCTTAACAGACTGTCGAGCCCGCCAACGAACATACTGTCGTCGCGCTGGGGCAAAAGTCGGCCTTGTGAGTCGAAGCGATCAGGTAGGTCAATTGTAGAGTCCGAATCCGATTCTATCTCTTTTCCCGAAGTATTCGATCTCGGTTTCTTTTCAGACGTCATGGGTTGAGTCTCTGATTCTGTTCTGGAAGAAAAGGAAGAATGGAGCCGACGGTGCCTGTGGCGACGAACCCCGCTCGACGAACCGATCGTCGAATCGCTATCGTCAGTCTCATAACCCAGGTCCATTTGTTGACCATCTTCTGAACTGAGATCAAAAGCAACCGACTTAGACTGAGGAGACTGACTCGCAGCGCGTGATCTTCGCTTCTTCGCACGGGGAGTCCTCGATGGAGATTGGATATTTAAACCTAAAGTTTTCGTGTTAGAGTTCCCCCTAATGCATTGGCGTTCGTCCCTGAACCCACCATCATCCATATGAGCTTGGGAAGTGGGAGGGGAAGAGTTCCATGCAGCACTCACATTCTCATCTGCCCTCCGGGGTCGAGACACGAATGACTCGGGTCCTGGAGGGGGAGGATAACCATACGACTGCGAAGGTGGAACCGCGCCAGGTGGAGGAGGATAGTCAACCGGGTTGTACGGGGCGGTGCTTCCAGCTGGTCGAGGAGCGGAGCCCGGAGGTGGTGGGAAGTAATTGGTATTAGGGTAGTATTGATGCTCATTCGGCTGGGGTGGCAGAGCAGTGTGATGATACGGTTCAGGACTATATGGTTCGCCATACGAGTCCTGGTGTGCATCTTCATCGAATTCTGGTCAAGAGATATTAGTCCGACCACACTGTAACCCTCTCAATCTGCTACGGCCACTCACTTGGCCTTTCCCTCTCTTGCTCCGCCTTCTTGCGCTCTCTCCGTTGCGAATACTTATGAGCCGCATAACCGACGCCAGTTGCGGCCAAAGCAGCTTCAGCTAAGTCACGAGACCGGCTACGATGCTTATCTTGTCTCCTTCGCCGTCTTCTGCGATCGCTGCTATCGGAGCCAGAAGGGCTACCGCTATATCTTCCACCACGACTCCGGCTGCGGCTGCGGCTGCGGCTAATGCTGCGGCCACGATGTCGTGACGAGCTAAATCCCGTGCCGCTGACAGCCGGGTCAGAAGCATCAGAGTAATAAGCCTGTTGACTCGTAGGTCGCCCGTAGTAGTCCGCCGTGGGAATCCTTCCGTGAACCGGATCCTGACCATACTCGATCAAACCAGCAGAGTCCCGTGTCGGGTCAGGGTAGATTTCGGAAGGCGCCCGGCTTCGAGATCTAGATCGTTCCCTGCGGCGCGAATATTCGCCCTCTTCTTTCTTCTCTTTGTGCTTTTCGTAAAGCCCTGTCGCGGCCGCGGTGCCCAAGCCAGCTGCTACGACAGGAAGAGCTTTCCTGAGCCTGCTATGGGATCGAGACTCACGTTTACGAGAGCGAGAGCGACTGCGTGCCTTCTCCACGAGACCAGCCACCGCAGCACCAGCCAATCCAGCACCCGCCATATGCTTTCTACGCTGCGACTCGCTGCGCTTTTCGCCATCGGTAGTCCTTCCAGACCTGACAGAAGATGAACGGTGGCGTCGTGACCTACTTCGATGGCGAGAACGGCTTCGCCGCTCATCTTTGGATTTGTTTCGAGCAAGGGCCACGGCACCAGCAATAGCGGCAGCACCGAGGCCAAGCTCTGCCAAAGTTCTCGCCCGGGAATGAGAATGAGAGCGACTGCGACTGCGACGGGAGTGGCTGTGACTATGATGATGATGACGGTGATGGGAGCGAGAGCTTCGATCATCCTCAAATGAGTGCGAACGATGTCGGCTCTTGCTACGATAGTAATCTCTGGCTCGGGATGCCGCATTCACTGCTACAGCACCCAGGGCACCAGCACCAATATCCCGTCCGAGGCGACCCACACCACTCGAAACATCTTCCCCTTCCCTTTTTCGGCGACTGCGGAGTAGCTCTGCAGCACCAATTCCGACCAAAGCACCCTCGGCAAGATGACGTCGATGGTGGGGGTGGTCATCATATTCACGGGTCTCTTTGCGGACGTAGACCATGCTATCATCGCTGCTATAGTCGCGGTCATCCCGGTCATCCCGACGGCGCGTCGTCTGTGACACTGAGTCGCTAGGACTAAGTTCACGGTGAAAACGACGATCGTTATCATATTCGCGGACACGGCGATGATAATAGTACCCTGGCTCTCGGTCCACTTCTGAGCGGTGGACAACCTCATAGTCGGACTCCCGCGGGTTGACATAGACAGGACCTCGAGCTTCAACCATAAGTACTGGTTGTCTCTCAAGAATAACAACAGGGGTAGGGTAATAGCGATGGAGATATTCAGGCTCCTTGTACTCACGTTCGTAATAATCCCTCTCGGAACGGTAGTCATAGCTGCGGGAGTCGTAGTCAACATCGCGCTCGTAACGTTGGAGCATGACGGGTTCCTCCCGGTCTGTGGACCGTCGAATCACCAGCTCTCGGTCGCCAGTAAAAGGATCTTCGCGTCGGTAAAGAACGTCTCTCTCTCGCTCTCGCTCTCGCTCTTCTTCGGGGGAGATGACGTAACGTTTGATCGTGACTGGAGAACGAGGTTCATCCCAGTCGCGTTCACGCTCACGCTCTCTGTATATGTATGACATGAGGATAACTGAAGATGAATGAGAAGAAAGACTAAGGATTGCCTGGTAATGAATAAAACAGCAAGTGGAATCGTAAATTCAGTTGTTGGAATTGTGAAGCGGGATTGAGGGGCTGCGAAAGTGGGGAAGGCACAGAGGCTGGAACGGTGTACGCAGAGAGGGAACGGTAAAAGGGATTAGTTAGAGGCTGACGGACGGGAAGGATGATGACAAAACGCCGACCGAAGCAGCAGAAGATTCGGCACAGTTCAGGAGCCCTTGAGTGGAGGGGGGAATGCCGGATTAGCGACCAAGAGGGGCAAATCAGATCCCGCACACGCCCACCAGACTACTGATCACTAGCAACATGCAGGGGCTTGGATAACTGGCGAAAACAGAGGATGATTATTTTTAGGATCTGCAACACCTCATACGATCAACCAAAGTCGCAGATAGGAAGGATGTAGATAACCCCTGATGAACATCGACAACGATGATGGATAAGAGGATGGGAAGGAGAAAGAGAAAGACAAAGAACAACGGGGAAATGAGGGGAAGACCACCCACGTGGAAACACCTCTCTCGTGATGAAACAGTCGAGTCACGAGTAAATAATTGATCGGTGCGGATATCCTACGCAGCAACAACGCAGTAGTATATATCCATATCAACAACGACGAATTAATATTCTTTGAGTCCACGGTAAACCTGTCAGTTTGGGGAAATGTGGATCATCTTCCGACGAAGAAAAACCACGGTACAGGTGATATCCATCCATCTTATACTCATTATCTTATTTACACCGACCGAGTCTTTGTTCGACATAATGATGACCTCATCGTTGATATGACACAAACTGAGGCTGAGCGCCCGATTTGCCCGACTCGGCTATACATACTGAAACCCCAAATATCTCGATAAGTACTTAGTAGAAAGTAGTAGTAGTAGTAGTAGTCATAGTAGTGAGGCTCCGTCTTCCACCATATTTCGAGGTAAATTTATGGAATGGTCCATCCATTCATTCCTTGGAGGGTTCAAACGGCGGTTCTGGAAACTCGTGGGGAAACGGGTTTCCGTAGATCACGGGTCCTGTATTTTCTCACCGCCCATGGTTCGGAAGAGTGGGAGGTACATTACGTACCTGGGTGAGTACGGAGTAGTGAGTATGAGCATAGATTGGGACTACTACATGTAAATAGTCAACAAATAGTGGAATATTGGAATACTAATACTTGCCGAAGATAGTTCTTGCGATCGTCAATTGTGACTATAGCGTTGGACCTATCTGATGTTAGTATCTGGGGCACGGGGCACAGGATTATTCTAGAAACATTCCATTTTCGAAACGCTCGCATCGTTTCTGATCCATCATATTTTCCAATGTCATCATCATGGCGGCCACAACAAACCAAGACTCCCGAAATCACTGACAACCCTACCACCTAGTACCAGAAGGACTACGAACGAGTATGTCCATAACAGCCGAGTTTGTGAACCGAAAGACACGTTTTCAACAAATTAATCTATTTTTTTTTTTTTTTAATTACCTATCTTTTTGGGAACCTCGTTATTTGCCACGCGGGCAGTAGTGCGACGCAACACGAAGCGCTACGAGGCAACTAAGAGGAGGACTGAGCTCATGCACCTTACATGCAGGGTGAAACACGCATCCAATTTGCCTCCCTTCGTTCGGTTTTCCGACTTGAACCACGTACCGTCCTGAAATAAAATAAAAATAAAAGAAAAATGTTTTAGGTAGATCGCTTAAGTGAGGTGAGCGAGTCATTTTAAGGATCTTCGTTCTGGCTTCTAGAAAACCATGTCCCACGATGATTTACCCACACCTGGATCTCATGTCAAAGCGTCATTCTACCAACTAAGAGGTGCATCCAGTGCATCCACGCTTCGGTGGCGATTTTGCTGTTTCTCGGTCTCTCACTTTCTCTCTCTCTCTCTCTCTCTCTCTCTCTCTCTCTCTACCTTAGTACGGAGGAGTGGCTGTCGCTTCCAAATGGAATGTATCTTGCTAGTGTGGAATGTTATTGATTTTGAATTTTCATTTTATTTTATTTTATTTTATTTTATTATATTATATTATTGTCCTTACCTTTCTTTCTCCTTCTTCGTCTGGGTTTGAGTTTTCAAAGGCCGCCCTCACCAATATGATAGCATATACCAATAGAGTAGTAATTGTAGTCGTTATAGGATACTTAACTGTAGTGGGCTATCGGCTTGTCTATCCATGGGAGAGTCGGCCGGAAACAAGTTCCATGAGGTTTTGCCGAAGTGTTTGCCGGATGAAGAAGGGGCTGGCTGCATATTGTCTGGATTGTGCATACGGAGTATGGACATTAGCCATGACGTCCGTCAGACAAGGGATGATAGGATAGTTCTTCCACTTGCCGACTAACCATGCAGAATGATGAGACATGTCACTACCACTACTACTACTTAGGAGTACGGAATACACGGAAATAATCCGAACAAATCCCGAGTCATGCTTGCATCTGTCAATTGCATCGAACAAACATGCAGGCACTCATTCGAGAGAGGGGACCCCTAAAAAAATAATAAATAGAAATAATAAATTAAATTAAAAAAAGAAAAGAAAAGAAAATCAAAATCATTCACCTAATTAATTGAAAGCCCATACCAATAAAAGGAAAAGAAAAAGAGCGCCGCAATCTAATGGTTGTGGGGAAATATCGACTTACAGAGATGGTCAAGGTTTCTTTTGTTTTT